GTGCCGGGGAGGTGGCCGTTTCTGTGACACCAGGCAGCTGGGAGCTGTGCAGCACCAGAGGGAAATGACACAACAGAGGCAGGGAGAGAACGCAGGAGTCCGGGCGCCCATTGGTTCACCGTCCTTCACAAGCCACGCCGGTCTCGGACTCGACAAACTCGCCACACTTAATACACCACAGCCCTGGGATTTAGCCATGAAGGGGCAGAAGATACAGAAGGGATAATAATGCGTCTGCCCTGACACCAGCAGATAATAGTGCATCTGCCGTGACACCAGCGGATAATAGTGCGTCTGCCCTGACACCAGCGGATAATAGTGCCTCTGCCCTGACACCAGCAGATAATAGTGCATCTGCCGTGACACCAGCGGATAATAGTGCGTCTGCCCTGACACCAGCGGATAATAGCGTCTGCCCTGACACCAGCGGATAATAGTGCATCTGCCCTGACACCAGCGGATAATAGTGCCTCTGCCCTGACACCTGTGGAGAAGAGAGCCACCAGTTCCCCCTGGCCAGCCGGGCATGGAAGAAAGGGTAGACGCCGGCCAGCCCAGCAGCTGCATTGACTGAGAACTAAGAAGCTCGTAAGCGGTGGCCAGGCCTGGTGGCTTTGCTCCCAAGAGGGCTGCGCCGGACAAGAGTCCGGGCTTGGACCCTGCGAAAGGCTCCATGTTGCCGTCGGTGTCACTCTCTGGGCTCCAGGCCACGAGGGGCCGTGTGGGTTTAGCGTTCTCCCACAGGGACAAGAGTCCGGGCTTGGACCCTGCGAAAGGCTCCATGTTGCCGTCGGTGTCACTCTCTGGGCTCCAGGCCACGAGGGGCCGTGTGGGTTTAGCGTTCTCCCACAGGGAGCGTTTGCCCGGCACACGGATGCTGGATCCGGACGAGATGCAGGAGCGTTCACGGAGCGTTGGGCTCCGGAGCAAACCCTGCCGCCCCGACGCGAGTTGGTTCCCGGGCAGGGCGACAGGGCTGGGGGGCGGGGTCAAGCCGGCACACGATGGATCTCAACGCGAACCAGGCTTGGACCGGCC